TTTTTCATATATATTAATTACTTACTAAGTATTTAACTCACTTTTACTTACTGTTTACTTTTTTTACTTTTACTTAATATTTGTTTTCACTTCTACTCACATTTTTTTTATTCTTTTATAAATACCTTTGCTAATATGAGTTCTATACAAGCTTCACAACTTCCTACACAAAAAAAAATTAACCAGTTACAAAAAATATCACTTGTTTCAAATACTGAACAAAATATCCCCCTTTGACTTCATGCTTTAGATTGGTTTAATAAAAGTTGTAGAATATTCAAATCTATTAAATTAATTGATTTTGTTGAAGAACTTGAAACTTATTTTTACCAATTTATAACATGATTGAAAAAGATGATAGTTTTGATTATAAAGTCAAATCTGTCTACAATTGTTATAGCACAATCAATAGATATGGATATCAATACAAGTGAATCACTTTTGCATAGGTCTTCTTTTGGTTGTATTTATTGTATAAACTATGAGATGGTAATGCATATAGAATTTGCAAAAAGGATCTTGAATATCATCATAATAGAGAATTGGAGCTTGTATTATATAAAGAAAAAAACAATCAAGGAGAAGTTTTTAATCAATATAAGCATAGAAAAACAAGTTCACAACATATTCCTATACCACCAGATTCAGCTAATAATGAATATACCCCAGTAACTAATATTCTTCTCTATTTGTCAAAAGTGCCTGATTTGATATTGGTAGATTCTTTCTTTTGTAAAACTTATAAATCTAAAAAAATATATATTTTATGTAATACTGCATATAAAAAAATTTAATTTGGGTAATTAATTTAATTATTTTTATTAAAGATCTTCTAAAGAACACTAGTACAAAAGTACTTCTATAGGTTATGGAAAATTAAGAAAAATGATGAATGATATTGCAACACATACGGTATTGATCTCAGTAATAGACGAAAAATCACAAACCATTCATGCCATTATACTGCAATTCAATTACTAAAAAATAATAGGCTTTCAGATTCTGATTTAGTCATTTTTCAGACATCGATCATGTGAAAGCCTAGCTGATTATTGTAAACTTAGTAACGATAAATGTATTTTAAATACAGCATAGTTAATTTCTTTTTCTTCAAATGAATTAGATTTAGATGAAGAAAATGCTGATAATGTAGAACAAGGTAATTTATACATAATGATAATTTTTAAAATACTTCAAATTCAATATTTTTTATTAAATTATTACAATTTAAAGTATACTGCAATTAAATTTATTTATACATTTTTAATTTTTTTTTAGATTATGAAATTGAATTTCCTGAATTACAAATGTTCCAAATTCCTGAAGCACAAATGACCCAAATTCCTGAAGCCCAAGCGACCCAAATTCCTGAAGCACAAGCGACCCAAATTCCTGAAGCACAAGCAACCCAAGTTCCTACAGCACATGCAATTGAAGTTCCTACGGCACAAACAACTGAAGTTCCTACGGCACAAGCAACTAAAGTTCATACGGCAAATCAAGTTTCACCCTAAATTCAAAATCCAAATAAAGTGAAGACCTCAAGACTTTTTAAATTAAAATCCCATACTCAAACTCATCCTTCTTCTTCTGTGATGGCACCTTTTAAACCTCCTTGTCTTCCTAATTCACCGTTGTTAGCTTCTTATGGAAAACATCAAAAACCATTATCTGTGGTTAATAATATCGTTATTCAACTTCCTTCTAGTGCACTTCACAAAGTTACAATCTAAAAATAGATTTGAAAATTAATTAGATCTTTAAATGTAACTGATTTATTATTAATTGCA